TTTACGACTTCATTGAACAAGTATTAGTATATGTCTACGTATTATAGGTGATATGTTTTTGCCGAAATTTAAATATTATAGCTTGTCAAGACGGATATCGAAATTTCAGTGGATTAATATTATTTTTGCGAAAAAGAAAACAAAAACATGGATACTTTAATAAATAAATAAATCCTGCCCGAAAGATGAGAAATGGAATTTGAACTCATAGTGAATCGGCCAGGAAGGCAAGTTGTATTTATTCCTTGTGTTCGAACTTCCAAAAACTCGTGTTGAGTTTAGTAATAGTGTACGTGCGCAGTTATGTTTTCTTGTTCTTTTTAAAGTTTATTTGCTATTCATGCCATGAACTAATATTTTCAATCATTATTAACGAGTCGTTTTCATTAAATTATTGAACGGAATTTACAGCAATTCGTGAACTGTATTCTAATTATTTTAATAAACTGTACCTTTAAAATAAATTTATTTAATCAATAATGTTTTACCTTGACTCCAGTGCAACAACGGAATCTGCATCGCTGATCTGGCATTAAGAGCCACAGAGAAGGAAGGTGATCCCGCACCAAGAGCAAGATCATATTATACCTAAACAGTATCAATTTTGCAATCGATGCAGATGTTCTCGGGCACCCACCTCCACCCACACTTATGGTGTTCTGTCAGTCGAGGGAGCATTAGTGTCTGACGAAACGTACCACCGCTGCTTACTAGGTCTCGTGACTATATGTCCCTGTTTGTGGCTAGGCTTATTAGTGCAACTGGCACCACTTTTCGGCAACGTGAGCGATATTACTGTCCACCCTGTTACTGACTAGTCCTGCTCTATGAATGTAGCTAGGTTGGGGGTAGGTAAGTAAGAGTGGGTTCAGCAACAAATGCACTTGTGCTACATATACATTTTGATTTTATTAGCTTTCGTTCGTCGTGGCTGAACGTATCAATAAATTTGGCACTTTTATATTGTGTGGTTATTCAGTACTTCAAGATCGACCCCTACTTGATACGAGTGTTTGTCACGTAGGGTATGCAGCATGCCACATGACACCCAATGCTTATTTATGTCCATTTGTTTCATTAACTCATTCAACTCGAATTAAACAAATTCAAACATATTAATGAACGTATTATGTGATGAACGTTCTATGTAAACTAACGAACTGCACTAGAAAGACAGTACTCACAATATAAGAATTTTATAGACAGATTAAAGGAGTTTATTGGAAGCACGTGTCCGATAATATAAAGTTACAAAGGATTGACCATTTGCAAATTCCTCTGGTATGTAAGTGGAGATTCGAAATTGTATTAGACTATATTACCGGCATGCGTTATCTTTTAGTTTACTTTACTTGGTAACAACCTTTCAGACTACGGCTGATTTTGATACCTAATAATCGTTCTTCAAACAACTCATGAATTCAGAATTTGGACCCGGAATTTTACCTAAGAAAACTAACCAAACCCGTAGTAGTAGTAGGAGAGAGAGAAACCACATGCATAAAATGTTACGTATGCAATACTAAATTCGTCGCACATAACCTTTAAAATTGCTTGTCTTTTCTTGTTAGGATACTTACAAGTATATTGATTATTAAAAATGCCCACAATTTCATTTATTACAATTGCGTTAGTTATAAGATTTTGCTAGTTTTTCAATTTGTCTTTTAAACGGCGATTCTTATTATACCACAAGTAAAAAATCAATGGAGTGAAGTGAAAGGAATGTGGAGGCTCAGGTAATAGTAATGCGCCAGCATGGAAATACTGTAGATATATTGGACCACTTCCTTGTATCTACATCGTCCTCACCACCACCACCCCAGACATCAATTAACCATATTAAAAGATATCGAAGCTTTGTGCGTTCCATTGTTTTCATCACTGGAGATAATAAAATCGCACAAGTCACACTGAAAATTGCTTCAGGATTGGTGAAACTCTATCATAGCTTCCTAGATAAGTTCACATGAAATTGGTTTGGTGACAAAATTAACCTGCAGAATATGTAAATCCGGTCCAAGGGTTTTTGTAGGTTTGGTTGGTTCGTGTCGTCTGCCTACAACAAATTTAGCAATGCTATCCGCTGCAACCAAAACACAGTTGGTCCAGCTGTGTGCCGCTCCTCGTATAATTTATTTATATACGTGGCTGTCTGTACGTTTCTGCAGGAACAACAAAAAACACTTACAGAGATATTCTGTGCTGTAGTGGTTGTACACATTCTAAAAAATAACTAATTTGTTTACAAAACCAAATCTGTTGCACAGTATCATGTTTGTTAATTGTATACTAACTCGACACTACTCTTCGTGATGTTTATTGTACGTTTAACTGCATTTTACACTTTTTTTTTTTTTGGCGCTTGACAGCTTGTGGTCCGGAGCGCCTCATTTCATAACGGACCATTGTGACTCTGGCAGCAACAGAAAATCATAAACTAAAGTCGTTTGTGGTGAGGCAGCACCCACCGCGCGGCTTGGGTAGGCTGTCCGTTGCCCATATTTACACCAGTTGCGATATCACTTATGCTGGTTATACATTTCTTCTGATTATACTAACATATAACTTGGTATATATCAGTAATTTATACCAACGAGAGGGTAAGTAAATAGTGGAAAAGCCAAAGAGGATTTCAATCTCCGTTTTGTTATCCCAGCATATGGAATATGTGTCAGACGTCACACTATGATAATACTGTTTATTCTTATTTTCAAGAAAAAATAAGCTTCTTATAACACTGAATAGTGTAGTGTACATAAATGCAAATTAATCCTCATTTTTACCACACATAATCTAATCGTTTATAATGATTAAATATGTTAGCTGCTTACAGGAGATAGTATGCAAAAAACTTCAAACTACATGAAGTTACGTGAAAGCGTGACCATTTTCGTAGAAATTACTAATTTATAACTATTCGGTCCTCGCCCAGCTCATTCACAAATTCTTCATATAATATATACACAGCACTACTTAATTTCTATCTGAAAAAAAAATCCTAAAGTTTAAAATACCTACCGAGGTATCAGGCTACTCAGGCACCCTCACGGCGACACACTAGATTGGCTACAATATATACAGTATATATATTTTTTTATTATTATTATTTATTGGGCATCCTGTGTAAGGTGAAGCGCAGAAGCGTTTACAGTGCCCAACAGGGAAGCATGCTAAGTTCATGTTTGCCTTTATGCCTCATGAGTTAAGGGCGAAGAAGCCTGAAGGGTCAATGGTTTTGTCATCAAGTTATTGGAAGCCCCAACAACTTTCCCTGAATATGAATTCGCAACTTTCTATTTAAAACAGATACCTACATTACTGCTAGGTGAACAGGATCCAATGAGGGATAGGAAGTATATCCAAACAACTTTTCCACCGGCCCGGGAAATGAACCCGTGACCTCGCTTGCGAGGCAAGAGCGTTACCGTTCTACCATCGGCGCCCGGATACAATTTTTGAGTTTTGGGTACCTTAAGGTCAGGGGCTATTACTCCTGGGCATTTTTTCCTCCAACCTCCTGTCCTGACTATCATGACCTCGCGTATGCATCATGGCGGAACTATGAACGACAAGCCACAAAACATCACACATCTTCGATGGATGCGATGCACATTCCTAGCTGACTGCACATAGTTCTTTGTGTTTGCTAATTATACGATATTAAAGACAAAATATATAAAATATTTTACTTAAATTCAGAGTTAGTAAAGAGTTTCATTTGACCTCGGTCATACGTCCAGCTTATTGGAAGGAAATAATGGAGGGGAGTTGTCGAAAACAAAGTGGTGCGGTAAAAATGCATGGAAGCTGCATCCGAGTTGACATTCTGGTCACCCAGTAAACACAACACTGAGGGAGTTTGTAAACTATTTCGTTCCTCTAATGTGAATTAAATGCCTATTGATGCCTATTAGAGGAAGTTAGATGCAGTAAATGTGTTTGTCTGGTACTATGACTGACGTACATACACATATACGTTCACCAATATCTTTGAAACTGTAAACGTTCGAGGTTGTCAGTGATGGGCGGAGAAGTGTGTCAGCTAATGTTTTACAGTGTACGTGGTAACGTGTTGGTGACACCTCATTCCACTACAACACACCAAGGGTCAACCACCTCCTGTGTCACGGTCAACCACACCGTACACCACACAATGTTTTCATGAATAAAGGTTTTACAATGCATCATAGCAAGTTAAAAATTATCTACTAGACATATTTTTATATCTAACAGATCTTTTCTACAAAATAGCATTCTTTATTATTTTTCTTGTGTGTTGATTTACAAGAGAACATTGTAAAAAATCAGGCACAATTTCTATTAATTTAGTCGGTCCTTGCCGTATTTTTTTTCTCTAAATCCATCCGGCGATCTGGAACCAGATAAAATACTAGTTTATACTGGAGACAACAGGGATAAGTTGGTGTGCGGCTGTTTATAGGTTTCATTTCCGATTTTTACTATTTGTTAAAGTGAGAAGGACGGTGGGAGGGAAGAGGGGGTAAAGAAGGTACGGTAGGGGAGAGTAATGAGCTGAGGGAAGAGTGAGGAAGAGGAATAAGAGGGAAGAGCAAGACCCGGAAGGATAATGGGTTACGTGAGAAAGAGCAGCGTGAAGGTATTTCTTTACATCTGAAATGGCGTCTCTATATTATATGACTCGTGTTTTTATCGATTGAAAAAAATCTTTATAATTTCAAATACATATAATTAAATATAAATGTTTTTTTTTTCAGATGACACAGATGGGTACTTTAAAATATTTTTTTATATTCTCATTGAACAATTATATCGTTATTATTAAGCTAAATATTTTCTTAATTTTCTTCATTGTGTTTAGTAAAGAATATCATTAAGCTTCGAAAACAAATAAAAAAAATTTTTGTCACTTTAACGTTTACACTTTTTTCTTCTAATAATTTTGAGAAGTTTAGTGAATTCAAGTTTCTCTGGTGTGGAAAAAATATATATTAGGCAGGTGTCTCAAAACTAAGTTATTATAAATCAAAATTATTTTATTTGGCATAGGTACAACTTATATTCATTACTGAATCACTTGTACTTGAGCTTATAACTTATACATACTAAGTACAACATGTACAGCTAAATACAGAGGTAATGCCCGACGTTCAGGCCTCTTTCGTCTTTGTCAGCTAATTAAAGAACTCTTAGACTAAATACTCTACACGTCTCCGGTTTTATACATATCACAATAGAGTGTGTCGACCCGACCTGCCTCCTCACAGGACGGCGCCGACTTGACCAGTGTATCACATGGGGTCAATATCTACAGTGTATGGCATCATAAATACAGGGAAATGAGCAATGAGGACGAGTCGGCACCGCCTGGGCCAGTATGTACAGCGGATGACTGGCGGTGCTGCGCCCCCTGGCCTCACCGACACACACATGGACAGACACTTGAGTCAACAACGTTAAGTACAGTATTTTATTCCTTTGTAAAGTTGCAATAATTATCGGTTTATTGGTAAACAGGATATGTCATCACAATCACATCTTCCTATTCGTTGTATTCATAATAATAGTAGAAGTGACGTCTCCATTTTTTTTAATGTTATTTGGTAATAGTGTTATGGTGCCGGTGTGGGGGAGGACGGGTGAATATGTACAGATGCGCACATGAACTCCACGACGCTGGAGGCGCCGTATAGGGAGGGTCCCTTCCCGCAAGGTGTCGTCCATCAAGCGGGGAAGATGCTAGGATACTGGACCCCAGAAGGTCTAGGGACGCGACGGGACCATCTAATGGGACTCTTCGGCCTCATAAGACGCCTTCCACATGTCCGCAAGACACACGGACGAGTGGAAGCGGTAGAAGAGCGCCAGCGGCAACGTCAAGTGTGAAAGTAAAGTCCACAGCTCCTTTAAGGACAAGAAAATATATTGTTAGTCATACAAGTTTTACCACTGAAACGTGAAACAGCTTCGATATTACTAAAGTAAATTTTTTTGTTTGTATATCTTCCGGAATAAGAGAAGCGGACTATTGAAATGCGCATTTTTTTAATCCCCATATTATAACATTCTTGGCTAGCATTACCAACCTTAGTAAGAGTAAGAATTAACGAATACATTAATTTGTTTACATTTACTAATATTCTTCTTCTTTTGGATCAAATTAATAGTTTCATTTCAAGTCTAATTACACTACCCTGATACTACTGCAAGTCTAATTACACTACCCTGATACTACTGCAAGTCTAATTACACTACCCTGATACTACTGCAAGTCTAATTACACTTCTCTGATACTACTGCAAGTCTAATTACACTACCCTGATACTACTGCAAGTCTAATTACACTACCCTGATACTACTGCAAGTCTAATTACAATACCCTGATACTACTGCAAGTCTAATTACACTACCCTGATACTACTGCAAGTCTAATTACAGCACCCCTTAAATTAGATACAGTACTAATAAAGCAAATATAACAAACTCTTAATTGTCAACTTTGTATGACCAAATATCTAGTACAGATGGACAACCACAACTTACCTTGCCGTAGAAATCGTACAGGGCGGAATTGCCTTCTTCACTCTTAATTTCAAAGGTCTGTAGTAGCCACATGGCCACGTTAGTAACCACCAGGTAGGTGATAACCTCGCGTCCCGGCTTCTTGTGCTGGAGACTCTGTGCGTTGGAGCACCGCCTTAGACCGTCACAGATGAGCGCAGTCTGCAAGATCACCTGACACACTTGTAGTATGGAGACAGCAGTGGAGAGGACAAGTCCACCGTTGATGGCCGGGACCATACTCAAGAAGGCGTAGAGGAAGATGCAGGGCAGGCACACGTACAACAAGATGTCGTCAACGTTGCTAATTTTGTGTTTTATTATGTCCAATATCCGGATCGAGTTGTAGGCGACGATGGCCGTAAATAACATACACGTTAGTAGAAGGACTTCACTGATGCCGTTGACATAAATCCCAAGCTGCTTGCTGTCCTCAGATGCCGAGAAGATGAAGAATAATATGATAGATATTACCGTGGCGACGGTCATGAGTAGGCCAGCGAACAGTCCACGGTTAGAAGCGTGACAGTCCACGTAAATGATAAGGTTGGACGTCAAAGTTTTGGTATTGTCTTCCTCATAGGTGACTTCCACTGAAGGAATGTGTGTGTGGCGATCGAACTTGCCGATGTTTTCCCAGAGAAGGATCCACAACCCCACCATCAAGATGCTGAACTCGATGCTGAACGGGAAGAGGTACGGGGTTGTGGCGTTGATCATGGAGGACAAATGAGTATCCTTCTCACAGCCATAGTTGATGGACCAAGAAGAAGCTGCAGCCGCTGTGAACTTCCTCCCGACGTATTGCTGAGTGTCATCGTCCTCCATTTCGTCTGAGTCGTCTTCATCACCACCACCACTTATCAACTGTGCTGCGGTGGTTGTGTCTGAGCTATAATTTTTTTCTGAGCTCTTTTTCAAGAAGATGGCTTGGAGAGTCTCTTGTAGGATGGTATAGATCCAGAAGCACAGAGAAGAGGCGATGCAGTGCATGATGCCGAATCTTGACAGAACCAGACGACGGTTGATGATCAGCTGTAAAAAATATATAATAATTAGCACCAACTTCTCTTGTAACTATATATAATGCCACCAACTTCTTTTTTGTAAATCGTAATATAATCTTAAGTTACCACTTTAAGGAAGTACCTATTAACGAATAAATTGTATTACTTACATTGGAGTACTTGAAGATGAAGAAGAGCTGATAGAAGGCGTACACAGGTTGTAAGACAGACATGATGACGTCAGTGGTGCAGGTGCAGTTATCAAAGACGGGGTCCTCTTCTGTCAGGTACAAGATCTTCTGGCCAAGATTCAGACCAGTGTGGATCAGGTAACCCAAACAGAAAACTGTTGAAGGGAAAAACAGTTAATGAGAAACTTTTCTTTTTTCAATTTAGTTATGTTCATCCGTTCTGTGATACACATGGAATAAAGTTAATTACAAATTGATATTTTATATTTAGCAAGAAAATAATAGTTTCATATGGAGGATGTGTTACCTGTAGCCCCGATCTTGAGGTAGAGAGAGCCGCCGTGACCACCTGAGGTGAAGCCGTAGTGCTGTGGGATGGTCCTGGGGGCCTCGGGCACGTTTATACGTAGCTGGTACTGCCCGTCACCTGTCGGCTCTAAGTGCACCTGGTCGTCTTTATTTACTTGTTTCGTCTTGGCCTCGTCAAGTGTTCGAGATATGAGATTGACGTAACGTCGGACATCCACATGTACATAGAAAAGCCAAAGTAACTGTGCTACTATTAAGAATACGTTGAATCCCTCTGCCATTGCTGAGTCATGGCCGCTGAAGGTATCAGCTAAGTATATAACGATTCCCAACATGACCAAGAACACCGCATACATTATGCTCAGATTTTTACTAAGGGTGAGCTGGAATCTTGATTTCTTCTCTCCCTCCTCGGTGGGCTGAGGCTCCTGAGGGTCGTGGGCGTCAGGGTGAGTGCACACACCGTCTGTGTGACAATTGACTAATGCTTGTTGACTCTCCACAATCTTCAGTCCACCGCCGGCGATAGACCCCTGGGACCCTGAGTGGTGACCACCGGAGAAGCCTGCGGGTGAACCGTAGCCAACTTCGCTGTATATGGACTGTGTGTCGTGCAGGTTGGGGTACATGTTGGGGACTGGCTGGTTAGCGTTGAGGGACACCATGGAGACGGAGCGTCCCCTTGAGTTGCCGGGTAGTCCAGCCACCTGAGGAGCAGCACCCTGTAGGTTGAGTTGGAGAACCATGCTGTGTCTGCGCCCTTGGCCGTAGTTGACCGGCGAACCAACGGCAGAGGGGGGAGGTGAGGCCATGTTGGTTTCCGTGGAGGCACGAATGAGAGGAGGAGGAGAACCCACGGGGAGAACCACCGGGGTGGGTTCTGTGTGAACGTATCCTTGATTGTTCATCCCACTACCAGCAGCAGACTTACGACAACCGTGTGGTGCTTGTAATCCGTCCAAACTCTGGAAAAACAGAGAAAATGCTATCAAATACATTGAACACATTAATCCCATAGAATATTGACAAGATGGCCAAATTCCCTTCAGTACAATGTTACTCAGAGTGAAGGTACGGTACTCACCTCACAGTCGGAGTCGGACTGGTAGAAGGATATTTCCTGGTGGTCGTTAGTCTGTGGTTGGCCTGCGAGGTCGTCGATGGAATCTGGAGGTAACGTATGATTTTCGTTAGGCGAGAAGGCGTCGTGACGGATCACACCAGATACTGGAGCAGCCCAGGAGGAATATTCGGACGGTACCCCCGAGTCAGAACCGCTACAGAAACTGGCAGACACTGTGAAAGACGGTGACAAAGTTAGCGAGGAATTGTTAGAAATAAATGTCCAGTACTTGTGTTGTGAATTTTATATCACATAACTAAGAAAAATTCATATTGGTGAATATTGTAACTTGGTATATGCAAAATAACACAATTAACTTACATTGTGTTTGTCCTGGGAAGTTCAGAGTATACTCGGGGTTGGCGGATGTGTGCACGTGGTCGGGATTCGCACCGCCGTTGCCCTGGATGTTATGGGCGTGGGCGTTGTGGGCGTGTGGAGAAGGGCCTGAAAAGTGTGGCTGCAACTCCGGCGGTGCGCTCACCTTCCTACGGCGATGAGGGTGTCCAGTTGGTAGCCCGTGTGCCACTCGACGGCGGCTTTGTGCTGGCGACACAAGAGAGCTACTTCCACTGGCCTCGCTCTCACTGTGGGGACAAAACACAACAGGATAAGCATCTTCTGCAGTACAACTCGGCAATAATAACTATTATGAAACAATTACGGAACCAAAACTTCGGTTATACCCAAATTATATTCTCTGCAACAAACTTTATCAAAGTTATTCTTACTTAAATACTTATCTATTAAGTTTTACAAAATATAATTGATCTTAAGACATTTCCAAACACACACACACACACACACATATATATATATATATATATATATATATATATATATATATATATATATATATATATATATATATATATATATATATATATATAAAATGAGGCTAATATATTCATTTTAATACACAATGAGTAACCACAAACAAAAAATATATTCAGAGGGAAATCAAGGAGCAACTGTGAACTGATGAAAACCTCCCTACCATTCCTGGAGTAGTAGTGCTGAAGCGACAAGTCCCACCTAATCTAACCTTCAAATGTTGATCGGACAATAACCTACCTACTAACCGTCATCGTAATATAAAGTATAAATAAAAGAGTTTATCAGCACCTCCAAGTAATCCACCGATGGCAATACGAGGCTACATCCAGACGCGTTGACATCTCCGAGAGCGAACACATGACGTTAGACTCAAAACTTCATTGATAACCTTGGCATACACGATAAGACTTCAACCTTTTACAATCTAACTGTAACCTAAAGCAGCCAGTGAGTTGACAAAATATACTATTCACTACCTTCAAGATGTTTGCAGACGGAAGGAGACAAAACTCAAATAACAGTGCCGCCACAAAAAAACCCGGAGGTCACTAATATCGCAAGAACTGATTTATTCCTTAACAGCCGCAGTGCACATGTCAAATAAGTTTCACGAGGTAAGATTTACTACCTATAGAGACTTATGATAGTTAGGCACGTTGGAGCTTTGTATACAGATAATAAAAGTTAAACAGTTATAGTCTGTGAGTTGATGTTTCGTAAATTATTCTTATTTGAAGTATTTAGCTACAACAGTTTGAACATTACGCTTTCGTTTACACAAGAGAGATTCACCTTCATCAATTCATTAGCAGACAATGACAATATGCTCATACATAAACTCTACAAGTGTAAACTTACTATGAGCGTGAGATGCTGTGTTCTGTGAACTTAATAATATCAGTATTCTCATAAGGCGACTCATTAACCAGGCGACTGTACTAAGAGTGAACCCCCCAAAAAATTGTAGCCTAGTGCGTTATGCTGGACGCGTAATGTGTTCATTACTGATATGAGAACTAAAACTAGTATTATATTTCCTTCCATGGCTTCTGTAATAAATTATTTTACATATCAATAATATTTCTGCAATGTCTATAAATTGTATAAAACACAAGTTCAATAAAATATGAATCCCTCAATATTTCTTCATACGGATATTCTGATATAGCCTTTTTCATCAAAAATAATAGTCCCTCAAAATATAAGTCAAAGTAAACTTGCCAGCCAGCTTCAGAACTGACAACAAAAATATTGACGGAGAAAATAAATCTTACATGGTAACTGTGTCAAATTTCACTTGTCATCTTGATTAATTAAAAATATAACAACGAAGTGGTTTCATATCCTCATATCCACGTTGGAGACACGTGGTTTATCATTGCTAGAGACACGTGGTTATCATCGCTAGACACACGTGGTTACCATTGCTAGAGACACGTAGTTAAATTGCTGGAGATACGTGGTTATCATTGCTAGAGACACGTGGTTGCTATTGTTCATTGTTGGAGACAAGTGGGTTAGTATTGTTGAAGACACGTGGTTAATCCGTACCATATTAGTTTCCCTTAACAGTTCACTATCAACGTTTTATGCTTCAGTAATCACAAGTCTCTTCATGATCTATAATAATATAATCCTTCGGTGTTCTAAATGTCATGACCATCAGCTGGCTATTGAGGACCAAAAACTGGTCCTCGTCTCTCGTGTTTGGTCGGGGTGAGCATAAGTATTCTATGGTCTCGGTTCATCTGACATTTGTCGCTATGTCAATTATTAGGTTTCACTCAGAAGAACTATGTATAGTTATTATTGTATGTCTTACTTCTATGAAAACAAAGAAATGCTAATATAGACAATGATAATTTTCTTTACGGAACAAGTGGTAATTTAACACTCAACATATTTCAGTTGGTACAATGTAACAGGATACGAGATACATGGGTGAGATTTATTTCTGGTGAACAAAAACACACAGTTTCTATTCTAGTGGATCCTTGATCGAATCTCCACACGTGTAAAAGAATAGGCTGAGAGTTTTATTTCCTCAAAATTTGTAAGCGACAGCGGAAGCCGAGTATGCTTATGGCTAGGCTACTTTTCTACTAGAAAAACACTCGTACAGTACTGACCTTCACCAAACTGATGCTCAGTCGTATCTTGCAGCACTTTTACTTCCTAGTTTTCACTTAACATTTATGGCCAATGTATCATCAGCCGTTTTAGGCCATAAAAGTTGATTGGGCTGGATTTTTTAAGATAAATTATAATATCCCGCTATTTTTTTTCTTTCTGAAACCAGGAACTTAATCCATTAAGTTCTATGGGTAGGGGGGAGTCATAGTATCCGTTCCATTCAATAAAGCGAAGACTAATCACATACAAGAACAGGTGCATGACCATTGCAAGTATATCATAGAGGCATGGAGTCTACCCAAACAACGGTAATTATTATTGATAACACCGTCAGTTCTAACTCGTGACTATAGAAAGGTTATCATGACCGCTAATGTGAGGCGGGAGCGACAAGGATAGCGAGGTCGGACTACCAATACTTTTTTGTTGATCTCTGGACGCAGTGAACATACCGAGTAAAAGGTCAGAGGTTATATCTCCCGGCAGACGCATTGTTTTGAGTCCCAACCACACCCTAACGTCGACGTGATCCAAACTGAGTAATAACTGAAAATTAAAAGTAATATTAAACTATGAAATTTATATTTTCCATTACATAGACAAACACTTGTTTTAAATTTACGATGAGAAAAGTAATAAGATTTATTACCTGAGGAAAATATGGAAGTTATATATATATTTCTCTGATGGAGTTGATACAATAATCAAGCTGATCACCTATGAACACTAAAGCTGCCAAAGAATTGTATATTTCCCGTCGAGTTATCTTCACTTGTCATAACTTAAACCTGTTTTAGATACGATACAAAGAAAACCTCTGTAATTCCTAGATACTTATCACAGTTTACTGTTATGTAAAGCGAATCTCGGGCAATAAGCAAAAACGGTGACACACAAGGTTGAAGGCTGCGTCAGGTGGCTTCCCGACACGTGATGCCCGCTGGAATGTGTAATAGTATTGTCCCAGTCGTGTTAGGTAATAAATCTGTTGTGATATAATTGTCTATTGTATTGTAAAATATGGTATGTGAGTGAGTAAATGTGTGTTGGGGAGTGAGTGAATGGGTGAGATTGAGTGAGTGAGTGTGCGTGTGAGTGAGTGAATGAGTGTGTATAGAAGTATATTTGTCTGTGTAACAATTTTACCTTTGCTCAGTTGCGGAATTTTGTTTTTATTCTAAAATGGCTGGTAATAGTAGGGTGACATCACCTACCTCTGCCTCCACATCTTAAGTCCTGTTCAACACAACCGTCAGATGCGGCGGTGGACCCCCACCCAAATTTGACCTTTACAAGTAGTTTACTGAGGTGTGGTTCGTTTCAGAATAGATCGTACGGAACTCAAGGGCAATTTAACGTTCAAATCGAGGAAACTGAACGAAATCTTATAAAACGGATAAACTGATGGAATAGATTTGGCTTCTGTTACATACCTGTTTTGTTTACGTATTCGATTCTTTATTATTTTTGTACTTTATTAATGCAAAGAGAAACCACGTTAACAGGTATTGATTAAACACGTTAAAACACTACAGACTAATGGATTGAGATGATTACTGTAAGTATATCACGGGGACACACTCAGGGTTTGTCAGCTGTTATTGTGACCAGGCTACCACACCCAACGTGGACAAAAACTGGAGTTACAACCACTCAGCTGACCATCTCGTTTCGCCGCCACACTTTTCGTAAATTCAAAATAATAGACGATGGTTTTGTCACAAGTTAAATATTTGTAAATGTTTAAACTTTCTTAATTATTCTTAATCAAGTTTGCTGTAATTAAACTTGTGGTTTGTAAATTAATTCAGAAAAATAATAATTGATGGATCGCCTGGCGTCAACACCTCGCTTCCAGAACCAGATTAAACCCGGGAAGTTCCCCGAGTGAGTTTTTTCGGTGTAGGCCACGCAGGAAAAAACAAGTAATTGCATTCAGCTTGTCTAAACAAGATAAATCTAGCTCTTGAGTATCCAAACAACAGCCCCGGTTTACAAAAGACAAAGAACAATATTTTCAGAATTATGAAAGAGTAGGTTATCATAGTTACAATTTGTTAATGAATACCTTGAGATAGTGTTAGTGTGTGTGGCTCCACTAAGAAAGACAGTTAAGATATCCTCACTATTTCCGATACTAAAAAAACAGACCAAGAAGAGCAAGTGCGGGTCAATATTTACAGCGGCCTCGACTAACCTCTTGGTAGGTGAACAGGAAACTCCCCCACACTGGTGGAGGCCGGGCTGGTACGGCCGGTCTTAAAGGTCATAGCTATTCGTTTGGTCTCCTACCTAGACTAGTCGAACTGCTTCTGTTTATACGCACACTATCTCGGAAAACTTGTTTACATCACGAAGACAGAAGTTACGTGGCGCAATTATGTTGACAAGTTACAAATAAGTTAAAGTATTTCATCAACGCACGATATATATTTGAATAATAATCCTCTGGCATTAGAGTTTACACTGATGAGATAAGCGGATATCAATAAAATTCTAAATGAATCAGATTGTCAAAGAGAGAGTAAGTCGACGTGTCAAGCGGATTTCACAAGAGAAAGCAAGTCGGGAGAGTATTGAAGAGAAACTGTTGAAGAAGGTACTTACAACTCACCTAATACTGCTGAGGACTAGATGTAGAGGAATCCGTATTGTCGCCATTTTATTTTATCCGCAAGAAAAACTGGTAAGGTTACGAGTGAGTACCAAGTCTCATAACTATATATGAAGCTGTCACGAAACTGTCAGTAGCACACCTAACATGTTCCAAACACAAACACTACCATCCACTTTATCTCACAAAGTCTCCTTAAAAAGTTTCCTTCAAACACTTTTCACGTGTAATTAAGAACTCTCTTAGTGAGGCTAAGACACAAACACTGGTGCTAATTACCGCAGAGGGGAAGAACACTTCTTCGATCACAAGGTATAATCCACCAACGTCCGAGTATCAGGTACGGTAAGTCTTCTGTAGCGATAATCCCTTGCTGGCGTTGGTCGTTAAGTCTTGGTGCTGGAACTCCCCGTAGCTGCGTGTGCGCCCTCCGTGGCTTCCAGACCAAGTGAGGGTCCTGGGATCCAGCGTACAACGGCAGAGTCCTTCGTCCTTGGCGGAGGATGTGTGACTTGTGGAGGGGCCTGGCCGTGCGCTGGGGAGTAGTTACGGCCCCAAGACCCCGCCCCCAGAGACTAGGGGACTCCCCGAGCTACCAGCGCGGTACTTGGAATCCTGAAGCCATTTTTTTTCCTTTGCGCAACGTAAACATTTGGGATAGTTGAATATTAAGGATATACTTAATATTTTATCGAACCTTCCTCGCTTTGAGCTCCTCTAAATAACTGCTAATACAACGACAGAGAAAATAACAATAGGCAATAATCTTCACCTCGAGGACAGCTTAAGGTCACATCCCTGGACATCAACAACACCGACGGGAGCAAGAAGAGGTCCCGCCCGCGGTCTGTAAAGGTCTTTCTAAAAGGTTTTTCAAAAGACCAATACAACTGTCCCCTAATTTCAGACGACCACTCTTGTGTGAGTTTAATGCCGAAGTTGAATAATATGTCAGATGGTATACTGTATAGGCAATATTTTGTCCAATATCTTGACTTAAACTTAACAATTAGCTATTTAAGTTCAGATTTACAACTAGCTGCAATATATAACACCAAATTAACAACTAGCTATATAACACCAGATTAACAACTAGCTATATAACACCAGATTAACAACTAGCTATATAAGTTCAAAACATCTTACGAACTTACATTAGCGTCACGAGTTGCAGATACAAACAGACGAACCAACCGCTGCGTGACGACCAAGACACTGATAGAATTCCTCTTTGCATTCTGTCGTCAAATTCACAAAGTTGAGACTAAAAGAACTTGTAGCTTCAATGACAATAAAGCTCTTCGTGAGGGTCAAATGTTTATTGTCTCGGAATAACAATAACTGTCACGTGATGTCATAAAGAAATATACGGTATAAATTATATATTGTCCTTCAAGGGTAAATAATAATATGCTGTTAAGAGTAAATATAAAGATAAATATAATGTTTAATAGTCAACATCTTCGACTCAATTTATAACCTAATCATGTGTACCTATTGTTGCGTCCATACAATGAGTTCACGAACTAAATGTAAAAAGAATCGACTAGCCTTTTTAAACGACGAAATATAAACCCAAAACACACCTTAATTAATAAATGTCTAACACACCTGTACTGTAGTTACACCTTGCAGCATACAACAAGCACAGATCATAAAGCTGCAGGAATGATGTTTGTAACCACCAATGTTGAAGAAAATAATCCCACACCACCAGCCGTCGTCGTCTTGTTTCACGCTGTCCTCACGTGGGCGAGTTGCTGAGTTGCTCCCTACTGGCTAAGCTAAACTCCCACTAATCATAAAAAAATTCCAATCCCTAACTACTTCAACATATTTATCAATGATTAGAAAATATAAATCCATATAAAACCATGACTACACACGGGAGAGCTTTGAACACGTATGTCGTCAACCAGGATCTCCATACGAACTGTAACCTCGAATGTTGTTTAATGGATCTTCTAGCTAGCTGTTGTTGCCACACTCCTTGTCTGCCTTGTGTCTTCCACGTCCTAAGTTACGCAAAGTTTGGTGACGTATGGGATAACTGTTGGGTGGAAGCGACGAGAGAGAGAGAAGGCTGGATAATGTGGGAATATATAGAGAAGAGGAGAAATTTGGGAGTGTTCGAATGGTGTTGACATAATTAGCAAGGATGAGAGAGAGAGAGAGAGAGAGAGAGAGAGAGAGACTAGACCCATTAAGCATCATTATCATGTGTTGCTGGCGGGGGCAGAGGAAATGATATAAGTGTCGGCATTACCACGGGGAATGTAAAGCAATATACTACACCGGACGTAATATATTATTATAGTTATTACAGGTCATTACATTACTATTTCAGCCAATAACAATAGAAAATTTCCCTTTCTTGAAGAATATTCATGTTACCCGCTCGTGTGTATGTGTAATATACCTGTATATATACACACACCAGATAGAATAAAACCAATTCTTTTATTTCTAAGTGTTCTGAATTTAACATTTGCCCAAAACAACAATAACTGACTGAAAACAAAGAACGGACATGTCTTTTTCTGTAGTTCACCGACCCACCGCTGACTCTGCCATCAGGTTCTTCTTCTTCATCAATGCAGGAGTTGTGAAACTGACTTTTTTAAAGAAATCCCAAACAGTTACCACACTGGAGCCACCTGGATCAGGGGAACTCCCGAGACACAAGCTCCGCCCACCGTGTTCCGTCAACGCTGCGAGTCGAAGGACCGCCATGGCCCTACAACCACCGTGGGCTGCAAGATCATCAGGGGCCCCACACAACTACCATTAGCCATAAATTAAACAGGGCCCTTAGGATCACCGGTACCCCTTACAACCACCAGGGGCCATAAATCAACCAGGGCCCACAAGACCCACAGGGCCCACAGAACCACCATGGCCTACAAGCCCGCCAGGGGCCGAAGGATCACGGGGCCCACAAGAATCGTTGTACCTTGTAACACCTCCATGACTTCAAGATCAGCCACAGCTGCATGAGAACTATTACAGGCAGGATCTTCATCTCCTACAGGACAACTACAGGATACAGGATCACGGACTACCACAGCCTGCACGTTCATGATAGACTTGGTACGGTTGCCTCCCTCACCATCCTCTCTGGTCTTGCGCGACTCTTTGTTCAGATGCTTTTTACCTATTATATGACTCACCCGACACACACACACACACACACACACACACACACACACACACACACACACACACACACCCCCTGATTTTGGTGGTAATCGACCCTGGTCATAGAGTGATAGTGGAGAACTGTCCGAGGCGGAAAATTTGATGACTTGAAAGAGCGAGTAACAAAGACATTATCTTTAAGAGTTCATATCACTTATTCCTCCGCTCGGTGGGATGTTTATCTGAAGGTGAAACACGAAGGCTTCCAAGAGTCAAGAGGTGAACTTGGTTATGGCGTGGCCTTACGGATGACAGTGCTAGACCCGACAACAAAGGACTGGAAATTGGAGAGCGCAATGATGGCTGGCGGGCTGAAATGACAGTCCCACGGTGTTTGTTGTGTCCACGATGGAGAAAGTGGAAGTAAGGTGAAAGGAATGATGGAATGACCTGTGATGTTAACTCCCTTAAACACCATAACAATTGTGATTCGGTATTAAAAACGAAGAACATCCGGGAAGTCGACGGAACCAATGAAATGAAACCCGGATGTTTGAGCAGCCAATCACCGCGCTGGGCTCGTGTGTTGCGTCGCTGACTTGGTTGAGTAACCATCTCACAGCTACGAGAGGTGCAGGTCATAGTAGAAATGGCGATGACCTGCCTGAAGGTGAAGACAGCAGGTGAATGTAAACCACAGATGGAGAAGTGAAAGGAGAGCGAATGGTAATGAGGAAAGGAGAGAAGAGAAGGAAGAAGACTGGTAGCAACGAATGACCAGTTGGATAAAGGAAACTGACAATAAACTACAACATGGCTGATGATAAAGGCATCTAGAAAGTAAACAAACACCTTTTAAATTTATGAATACAAAAATGAAGAGATTAACAATAATAAGAAACACTATTGATAAAAAAAGGGAACACAAAGAATCAACAACAGGAAATATGAGAATCGTCGGCAAAAGAGAATAAAACGTAAGAACAATAACCAAGAAACACTAACTTGAGCAACACTTGAAACACAAACGCCACTAATAATAACTTACAAAGACTCAGTAACTAACGAACACTAATAAACACATGGCGTCAAGACCTCTACTGTGCCCTCAGTCTCGTAGACGAACAGGAACAATGAGAAGACAAGGTAAAGTTAAGCTAATGAGAAGAATTACTGGTCTTAATATGGCATAAAAAACAATAATAACAATAAAATAATATGGATAATGAGAAAAGTTTACCTGGAGTCTGGGAGGATCAGGTGAGAGTCTCAACCAACGGTATAGGGGCAACATGACGCGCCACAAGACTCACGATTTATTCGGTTCTGGTATCAGCACTATAACCCATACTAATAATGACTGTTTATACCTACCTTTACTCATTAACATCTAAAACAATTTCCGCAATGATAAAACAAATTAACTAACGACAAATAATAATAAAACACCAAATGAGTTGATAATTACAAAGCTGTGAAACAAAAGTCAACACGAGAGATGAAAGCAAGAGGGTCATGCAGCCAGCCAGTGTGAGCCAGTGACACCCCTCTCCTGGTACGGGTCGTGGGAGAGACTCGACGATTCAGCAAGATAAGAAAGATTATTGGGGGAAAGAGGCAACAGAGCACTAGGAAAAGCTCTTGTGTAAATAAAAACATTCTTATTTTTGTCTAGCAGTTCCAGGGAATTATTAATATAGTGAGATTAAATGACACAGTTGGCGAGAAAGCAGCAGTAATAACAACAACAATGTAAACAAAAGTCAAGGCGTGAGACAGCAGGCAGGTTAGGCGCCCCCAGCACTAATAGTCTGGTGGTAGAGGGGTGAGGTGACGATGGTGTTTTGGAGAGAAGGTTAAGGAGGAAAGGGGAAAGATTTACACGTTTACCTATGTTACCCTTCTTCATTTCCTCCCCATGACACACTCCTCTCCCCTTAACGTGTCAAACTCTCCCGCACGTCATGTCCCACCTTCGAAATACATGTCCAGTAATATCCTTCCAAAATTAACCACACTTCCATCCACTCCTTTTACATGTTATACAAACCCTTCCTGACACCCCGCCCCCTACTACACCCCGTCCCCCCACACCCCGACCTATCCTCTCACCACAGGGCCTTCCCACTTGAGT